GCTATTATCACTATTATGTACATTTTGCTACCCACAGAAGGAGCCAAAGAGAAGCCAGCCTATAAAGCCTTGATGTGGGTTGCTTTGGCAGAGTGACAGCATATGGGCGATTCCTGCATGGCATTTGGGGTTTCCTGGGTTTAGGTTTATTTATTGTGTAATCTTCTGCTTGGTCTTCTCTTTAATGAAGCGTGAGCATACAGACTCCTCTTTTCAGGAGCGGAGAGGGTAGGCTGCATCCCATCAGACTTCACAGAATCACAGAATATCCCGCGCTGTGCCAACCCTACCCATCACACCAATTTGCAGGCCCTGACCACCCTGTAAGGCTGCGGCACCTTCCTTTGAAGCAGGCCCTGTTGGTGTTCTCACACACATGCAAGCCCTGCCCAGCTCTGTGCTCAGAGCACCACAGCAAGGAGCCAGGCACACCGCTGTGCCTTCTGTGGGGCTGCCGCGTGGCTGCCAGGGTTTGCCTCAAAAGCCAGCGAGGTAGTGGGCGTTTTTAATCTGAGATGCCCTGATGGCAGGCTTGAAGCAGCTAAATGAGTAACTACACTGCAATGGTTGAATCTGGGAGGTTCATTAGTTTGGAAAGAAAATACCAGATGATGTCAAATTGTCCATCCGCGAAAGAAGCAGGGGAAAAGACCCAGCACGTTTCAGTGCTTGCTGTAACTGTTTTCAGTGCCGTCCAACTGGCTGTTGCCAGTGCCCTCCAAAACATGAATCGGTTGTGCAGAATCAGCAGAAAGGGAAAGAAAAACACCTCGTGACCAGGGCTCTGCAAAGGAGCCGAAGCAACAAGCTGCCTTGGCTGAAACAATGAGGTAAAAGGGCCCTGGGACGTTTTCTCATTCCATTACATTTCCTCAGTGCTGATCCTGCAGTGCAAGCCGACCATCCCCACCCCTCTCTGCCTGCTGAGACTGAGCTGAATTCTTCTTTTTTCTTGTGTTTGAGTAAAAGCACAGACTCTGCATCTAAATATTCTCCTACAGAGTTCGCTGTTCTATGGAAAAGCAGCATCAGTCTTGGCTCTTAGTCTGAAAGCAAAAATCCACCCTGCAGGAGGGGCAGCCAGCCCCACTCTGCTGGACAGCGGGGAATGCAGACATCCCCAGCATCTCAGCATCGGTACAAGTACTGTACTGCCGCACACACATGCTGCAGGAAAGCATTTCTCAGAGTGCACAAGTTTCTCACACCGAGCACCATTTGATGGGCGGTTTATGCTTGCTTTCTAAGAACATCAACTGCTAATTTTTGTTAGTGAGAGCCTCAGCACTGACAATCTGCTGAGTGTCTGCTCATCCCTGTGACCATCGTGGGAGCACAGGAGGTAAGCCGACCTCCAAATCTAACTGAACACTAAAATCTTCACTTTATTTCTTTAACTGTCCTTTAACTACTTCTTAATATTGTCCCTCAGGCTCAATAGCAGTTCAGCACTGGAACTCATTCTCCTTCCCTGGCACAATTCCTCTTGCTCCAAATCAGCAGTCCCTTTAGCTTGAACTTTCATCAACCATGTGTGTATTGGATGTCGTGCTGGCAGCTGGCCATATAGGTTACAGGAAGCACTATACCACAGACAGCAGGAGCAGTTCAGACCATCAGGATTTCCATTAGAAATCCCCCCCCATCCCTTTTTCTTTCTTCCCACCCCAAGAATTCAGAATTCTGGCATCAGAAAAGAAAAATTCTAAGATGAATCCAAGAGGAAATATGCTTTTGAAAAATGCATGCTCTGCATTTTAGAAAGACAAACAAGAAGTTCCCTTGCCATTGAAGGCTGAACTGCCCTGGCTTCACTTTCCTCCTGCTCAGGCTCCCAGCCAAGCAGCAGCCTCAGTCACCTGCGGGCAGCAGCATGAGTGTGCGCGGTGCTTCCCCTGAGCGCCAGCTTGGCCTCTGACACAGCAATGCTTCTTAACAACATGCACAAATACCCAAAGTGCTCCACAGCTACAAGCCATCCTGGGCCTCTTCTAGCCTCTGTACTTCAAGTGTTTCATCAACTGTGAAAACAGAATAGTTTCCCAAAAAAGATGTTCAAAAAGTCTGCCTGAACTTCTTGCTGCTGGGTAGTAATTATCTATTTAATTACATGGCTCCTTTCTTTGCACTGTCTATTGCGGGGAAAATATTCTTTTTCCAGATGAAACAATCTGCAAACATTTCTAAAACCAGGACAACTGATTATTACTTCTACAAGTCCAGAGTGAAAGACACTGAAGCCTGAAAGCAAGCGGAAAAATGTCATGTCCTATTACAACAAATTATAAGATTTCAAACAGAAGCTGTATAGCTTTTTATTTCTAATTTTCCCCAACGACAGCAACAACAAAAGCTCTGTGGACCAGATATCTGCATGGCTCCCACCCATTACCTAAATGAGGGCTTGTCAAAGGACCGTACAAAAAGCTGTGGCTTTGTGTTAGTAATTTCAGTGTCGGCATCACCCAGGTCACAACCACTGTTGCTAGACAGAAAAGATATATCCGGTGTCTGTTATTGTCTTTTCATGATGAATTCCAGGAATAAACTAACTTGCTGTATGTTTTTAATTATATCAAATCTCCATAGAAAAAATATAGAGATTTTAAATGAGATTAAGTCTGTGAGATCCTGAGTTCCTGTAGATTACTCTGTGTGGGCGCATCTCATCCTTGAAAATGAAATGTTTGACATGCTTAAAAATATTGGGCTGATATATGCTGATAAACAAAATGACTTTGTAAATTCTTTTTCCTAAAAAATGGTAATAGTTCACATTTGAAAGAATGATCTTAAGCTGAAGACAGTCATGCTGGTCTGTGTCAAGCTGTTCTCTGGCCAGGGCATTAGTTCACATATCATAATCCTCACACCATTAACCATGCCAACAATTGTCCTGCTAAAAACACGCGTAAGTGTTTTTCAAAACTCAGGAACTGAGAAAGTTGAAATTAAGAGCTGTGATAAGTCGTACGGAAAATACTTTCAACTAAGTAAGCAGATGCTGTAATGCTACTGGCACAAGAGTAGCAGTGGACCCAATAAAATTAATCTTGAGAAAATGAGTTGCTAGCCACAAGGCGCCTGGCTGCAAATATCAGCAGCGGTATTTCTCATAGCAACAGCTTCAGCAACGTGACCTTTCAATTACCCAGTTTCATGCTATCATTTATCTAAACCGTAGGAAGAGAAGCGCTTCTTTTCTCAATACAGATCAAAAAAAAAGAAAAAGGACTTAGCTATCTCTTCACATATCAAATGCTTGGTCTACCATATTGTTCAATGTCTTCCTTTACCCACACAGCTGGTTTGGCATTAAAACCTAGAACTGTCATATCTGCTCACAAATGGATGTTTTCCAGAACAGTTTGCTAAGATACAAGAATCTACTTCCTGCCGACTCTGATACTAGACTATATCCATCTTGAGATGGCACTGGAACCAGAAGCACAGTTATCTTTTCAACAGACATGAGTCTAATGCACCAAATGTCTACTTACACTGCCAACCTATCTCTCACACAAACATAACTTTAAATGAAAAGATGTAATCTCTTAAAAAACAGGTTTCATGGATTATTTCTGAAGTGCAGGGTAAGAAAGCAAGGAGCTAAAACCTTCCACTAGCTCTAATTTGCACTGCAGAGCTGCTTATTTGTCACACTGGTGCTGGTAGTTCTGTGAACCAGGAGGGATTGTGGCAAAACATGTCATTTTTTATTTGAAGGATATTCATCTGCTCCCACAATCTGAACAGAAACATCTTGAGCCAATGCAGGGATCTAATTCTGGTGCAAACGCACAAGCCTTATTGTGGATGCCACAAAATAACCCACATGCTTTTATACTGCTTTACAGTGCTTTAGTAGCCAGTGTCGGCCATGTCCCCAGCTGTGACCTTTGTAATCAGAGGAAGGTGAGCACAGCCCTCATTCAAGCCAGGGAGCAGTCAGGACACCAGTCAAGGCACAACCGGCAACAGGGCCACCGCTGTCCTGGCAAGGAGTGGTCAAGATGGACCCCTCCTTCCAGCAAACAAGTCCCAACTCCTCATTTCTGGTTTAACCACATAACTGTATGAATTGAAAACATCTGGTTAAGAGCACCACCAAGAGGGAAGGCGGAGGCAGCCTGTGCTACTGCCACCTCCCTCACCAGTCCCTGAGGGCGGCTAGTTGTGGCAGGACCACTCTTCTCCTTCGGACCACCCCATGCACACACTGCAAAGCACAGAACTGGCACACAGAACCAGTCCTAGTGACCGCAGAAAGCCACACGCTGCTCTGCCTAGGGCTTTCCAGCTTCGGTTTGCATTACAGTTACTTAATCCCTGCAAACCTACGTTATAAACAGTAACAGGACATATCTAGAGTGGTTTCGTCATTTCAGGCAAAGTACAATCAGATCACGAAAAGATAAGCTCACAGGGCTGTGTGACTGCAGCTGAACAATGCAATGGGCTGGCCAAGGAGAGAGTTTACTCTCAGGTATGACTTGTCATGCACACGCCCTTGGAGAGGTGGCTTAGCATGAAACCTGGTAAGCAGAGTGTACAGCCGCAGGCCCTGTCCTGGGGTGTTTGCTCTCACCTCAGCCATGGGGCACCTGAACTGCCCTGCACCTGTGGAAAAGTCACCGAAGTAGTGAGAGGGAGATGCGCTACCTTAGCCTGAGGATTAACTTTGCTCTCTGATGGTAACAAAGGAGAGAAGTTTTTGTTACAGAAAGAAATTCACACAGAGAAAAAGCACTGAACAGCAAACAAAAGAAACACTGGTCAGTTCATTTTGGCACACTACATACTGCAATCCTACTGCCAATGTCAATGTATTACATGCTGTGTAGCTATAAATTTCAGCTGTGTTTGAATAAACACCAGCATATAGAATCACTCTGGGTCTGTCTATTGTGATCTCCTTGTAGACACCACAGAATTGCTGCGTTTCTCTAGTTGAACAGCACAAAAGTTAGCATTTTTAGTTGCTCTCAGAGCTCACGTACCTGCAATCCCTTGTAGCAGCCCACAGACATTAAAAATACTTTTCTTCATAATACTCTGCACACACATAGTAAAGACAGACACAAATGCCACGGCGCAGAGGATCAGGATTCCCACAGCTAGGAAAATAGCGGTCGCCTGCCAGAACCCACTGGCAATCTCACTGAAGTTTTCAGCGTAGGGGCCACAAAGCGTATCTCGCCTGGAGAGCTGCATGTGAGAGATCCGTGTGCAGCGCCCGTAGATTCCCAGGGTCGGGCGGTAGGGTTCCTGCGGCCCTCCTGTTCTGTTGTCCATGTCCTCGGTGCTGACCGGTTTGGCTTTGCCAATCAGCCAGTCCGCGCTCATGAAAGCGATGAGCTCCGCAAAAGCCACGACGATGCTCAGGAGAGTCCATAGCATTGACCGACATGTTACAATGACATGACACATATTGGTGTCCACTGCTCGCAAACAGTGCAGCTGGCAGTCTTCAATCCGGGCACGAGGGGGAAAAAGTTAAATAAAAGCAGAGAGAAGAGACCACGAGGAAATCACTGCTGCAGTTCCGCTCGCTCTTTCAGCTCTCACAGCAGCCAAGACAAAACTCCTCAGGAGAAAAAGTGAATCGCTACAAGTTTTGCAAGCAGTACAGTCATTCGTCCTCTCCACTCAGTTCCTCCTTTCTTCTCGCGGGGATGCTGAGCTCCGAAGCGCGCTTTTCCCTCTCACTGCTCATACTGGCACATGACGCTCCGAGCCGGCGGGGAAGGCTGCGGGGACTGCCCACTGCTCGACATCACGCACCTACGGGAGAGAGAAAAGGCATCAGCAGCAGAAAAAGCCCTCGCGCCTCCGCCTCCGCACAACCCAGCAAGCTGAAACCCTGCGCGCGTCCACATCCACACGCCGAAGCTTTCCGAGCGCGCTCGGAAGCCGCTCGCCTCGTCCCGAGGGAGCGACCGCTCCGGCTGCCGGCGGCACTCACTCATCCGCTCCGTCCGTCCCGCACGGCCGTGCGTCCGGAGCGCGCTGCCACTGAGGTCTTGATCGCGGCCCGGTCCCACCCACTCCTGCAGCACGCCCACATCATCTTCCCCTGCTCGAAATCACCACGGCTGCAGGCGGCGGCCCAGCAGAGCGCTTGGACGCGTTTAAGCGGTTTTACAGCCGCCGAGCAGCCGCCTCGCCAGGATCTGGGCAGGGAAGGGTGCACCGGGGGAAGGCAGCGGGCCGTGGGGCTGCCCGGCCGCCGCGGGACACCGGCCCGCACCCCGCAGCCCTCGGCGCTCCCAGGAGCCTCCCCTTCTGCCGCCTGTGACGGTAGCTGGGGACATTCCCGGAGATCACTACCCTCCTCACTCACACCCAGAAGCCTTCCTTAAAATAACAGACGGATCAACACACATGCCTCCGCGCTTAAACTTAAAATGTATCACTTGGAAAGGGGGAGAGCAGGAAATGCACTCATGCTACCCCTCAGCAAAGGGAGCGCGCAGCTCCCGCAATCTACTCACAAAAAAGACCAGAAGTGCCTCATCCGCTCACCTTTGCCGAACAGAGGGGGGTCAGCAGGTAGCAGCAAATAAAAGACATTCCCATCCTCCTTTCAAGTCTTTTAGCTTTGTCAAGGAGTGATGGAGTTGGTGTTTAACTTTTTAGGAGCTTCTGAGCCTAGTGGTTGAATCCCAGTCCCACTGAATGCAAAAGTAAAAAAAAACCAACAAAACACCACAACTTCAAAAACCTGAGAATTCCATACGGCAGTTTCTTCCCTTTCCTACATTAGGATTTATGGACTATCCACAAGATCTCACCTGCATTAATTCTTCTTCCCCACCTCAATCTGCAGGCTCCTTCAGGACTTACAGAGGCATGCACCTAGCCTAGGCTTTCATGCCCACAACCAAATTTAACCTCCCTCTGTTCGTGGTTACCATGCTGCCTGACCTGTTTTTCTGACAGATGCTCCTGCACACCCTGCCTGGTATTGTGCTTAGAACAAAGCCTGCAACTTTCAGCCTCTCTGTTGCCACTGGCCAACTAGAGAAAAATATCAGAGAATGACAGTCCAAAAAAACGATGCAAGTCTGGCGGTCAAACAACTCATTTCATGACTTTACTAAGTAAATTATGAAAATGTACTAAACTAGATGTTAGCAAATGGCAGTCCACATTTAGTTGTGCGTTTAGCTGTACTGTGACAATCAATCTTTTTCCATTTTTTGTTCTGGAAAAGCTGGGGAAAGCATCGAGTTTTCAAGCAACCTGACATACCAATGACTCGAATACACCCTTTGTAATAACAGAGAACTAAAGTGTTAGCCTGCCAAAAAAAAGTTAATTCTCTCAGTATTTCCACTTTAAAAAACAACTGGAAAAGCATACATGCTTATTATGTCACTGGCATGATTAAAGACAATTTAATAGAAAACACCTTTATTTTTTAAGAGAAGTTCCAAAGAGAATCCGATTTTTTGTGTAAGCACCACTCCTGTTAAACAACTCAATTTTGTAATTAATTGTATTTTTAACTGTGGTGCAAAGGACCCAACAGTCAAATCACGGCTGGTACATTTCACTGTGTATCTACATAAAATGATAAAATGCAGTTTCTTGAACACAGAAGAGAATAAAGTTCATATTTACTTAGGTAGGTGGGAATTCCAAATGAACACTGGAAGCCATAATACATGTCGCTAATAAAAGATGGTGAATGCATATTAGAATCTTAAGGAAAAGTACACACCATTGAGGTTCTTTTCATTTAAAATGCAACAGTACATGGCGGTAACAAGTTAAGACATGAGTATCTCCAGAAAAGTCAATATGTGAGCAGAACTGCCTGATTAAAAATGATTTAAAAATAGTGTCAAATCTCTGGACTTCCCTGGGACATACACTTCCCAGTTTTGCTATATTGTGAAATATTCATAGCATGTGAAAGTCACCAGTATAACCAGAATAAACGTCACCAGTCCTGCTGTCACACTTACCTTTCAAATGAAACCTTCACAACCCAGCTTTTCACAGGTAACTACCACTTTATTCTGGCAGAACGAGCACACAGATAAATTTGTTCCTGTACTAGTGATAAGCTGAATGCGAGTGCTGTTCCGTTCATCTCCTGTTATAGCTTAGAGGACAAAAACACACTAAGGAATATGGTTCAGGGGTCAGAGGAAGGGCAGGAACATTTCTTACTCATTAAATTCAGCAGAGAGGTTGCAGATGAAGTACTGGAGATTATTCACAGTTCAGCCATGCTTCTGTAGTTAATATTTTATATTTTTGTGCCAGCAGGTATCATTTTGAATTTCTGAATGAATTTACCCAATTCTCAGACAGCTCCAATAGAACACGTACACTGTACATCAGAGCCTTTCCAGCCACATTGTGCACTATGGAACTCTGCACTTCATGAAGCTGCCCTCCAGGACTCCACTTGCCCCTTTTCTCCCATTTTTGCTGGACAGAAACTCATGCTACAGTCTTTCCAGGCTGAAAACTAGCTGTTTATTCCAGCTCTCAGTTTCTCATCCATTGACGAACTTTTTCCATAACAGAGCTCTATGCTCTTCACAGCATGCCACTCAATATCCACTTCTGAGAGACTGTCAAAATATTTGCCTTGACAGCCTAAATTCAAAATATACAACAGTTCTTTAATCCCTTTGCTATTATCTCACTCAAACCAACTCTAATTGAGGAGGCAAACTTCTTTCTGCAGGTTCATCTCTTGGCCATTTACATCTGCCCCTATATTTACTGTCGTGATCATCCATGTGGGTGCTGCAAGAGGTCCCTGGCTGCCCCAGCCCAGCCCAGCTCCTCAGCCAGGCACGGCAGTTGGACACACTACAGGTTCTTTTGGAGGGGAGAGGAGGCGTTTTAAAATTTAGATCATTCCAGCCAACGAGTTCCCACCGTGCCCCTCCAAAAATGCTAGGGCAGCAGCAAACCCTGAGTAAGGCAAAAGGGCCCTCAAACATTTTTCACTGCCAAAGACAAAAATATTAAGAAACTACACCTTCAGTGTCACTTATTGTGTTCAATTGTAGTCAAATTCTGCACTAAGTGAAGTCTAACGAAGTTAAAAGATATTTGATCCTCACAGCATCTAGACAGGACAACAGTGAAAAGCGAACTATTATTTTGGTTGCCTTAATCTAACAAAGCAAACTAAGCTTAAAACATCACTAAAATTTTCCTTCTCTTCAGACACAATTTTGACAGCCAGATATTATGCCTCAAGTTACACTTACACATCTCTTGCTAACAATTTTTAGCCATTGCTTTTTACTACACAGCATTGCTATGTTCTAAGTAAAGAAGTAACATCTAATTTTCTGAACTAGATGAAGAATCACACTTGACTCCATTTTGCTTATGCTGCCAAGACCAAAAGGTCAGGAGCTGATCCAAATTATAATATTTAAGTTTTTGATTTTAGAGATGTTGAGCTGGAGAGTTTTGCTCTGACATACCACACAGATAGGAAGAAACAGCTGCAAAGTTCAAATTTGAGTCAATCACATACCACTGCTGTTTATTTTAAAAAGTGTCCTACAAGCAAAGCACAAGAGTCCCGCAAGTACCTTCCAGAACTATGTTATGGCCAGGCCTTTATGCTCTCCTTAAGAGTTTGACTGGAGGGGGCTCATACCAAACCCTGCAGCTCAGCTTTCGCCCTTCCCAGCCTAGTTCTATCAGCTCAAGAGTGAGAATAAATCATCTTTAGATAAGTGGCTTTTGGCTTGGCTTAAACAAACAGCTGAATGGAAGGCCACACAGACTGCTGAAATGACCCCAGTTTGTAAAATAAATCCAGGCACAATTACAGATTTTATTCTACAGTTTGCCATAGTCCAAAGCACAGCTATGCAAGGAGCTTCTAAATCTTGTTTACAAAACACAAGCTTGAGCATCTCATAACTAAAATGTGAAAATCCTAGAAGCTTCGCTTCTGCTTTCTCTGAAACATTGTTCACTAGCAGTTACAAACACTGTGAGAATGCTTTGAACCACCAGAGTGGAAGTAGCTCCTATTTATGTTGATGCTTGCAAACTCACCATTTAAAACAAATACAACTGAGGCTCACACACCAAGGGTCAGTCACTTCAGACTGACCCTAGCCAGGTCAGTACAGGCTGCTGCACTAGGCAGCTCCTTCCTTTGTGCTCTAGAGGCTAGCAGTCAACTGAAGGCTCACTCTGCCCAGCAAGCAGGGACAGCTCACAGCGTAAGCATTACAGATTATTCTTTTATGGGTGAATGATACATGGCAAATAGGTTTGCTACCCCAAGGGCTGAAGACAAAGAAGACAATAATCTGGGATTCAGTGAATGAGAGGATAAGGAAAAACTAAGAGGAATAAAGGAGGAGAAAGAACAGTTGTCATGTGAGTCAGCTCCAATGGCACTTGGCCCCTTTGTGGGATGTGTGTTCCTGCAGGAGGAGCTGTCTGGAGGAGCACTGTTTCTCAGGAGATACCACCATGTAGATCAAGTCACTTTGCAGAAGGGCTATCCCCACATACTTACATGTGACCTGCAGATGTAAGAGGAGGTACATTCATCATGTTCTGCTCTCAAAATAGAACACGGATGAGGACTAGATCTTAAGGAAAAACAAGCTGTCCTAAAAGGTTAGGAGTAAGCTCTCTCTGCAGGCCATGAGGAGCTCTGCTGGCTCTGGTTTGTGCTAAGCAGCGCACACTCACCACAGGAAACACCTGCGTCACGAAGAGACAAGGCATTTAGATACTTCAGTGTGTCACTGTACTTCAGTGCGTTTTTTTAAATGGAACAGATTTCAGAGTCATTAAAATATTCAGTGTCAGATAACAAAATAGGAGCGGTGGTTTAAAACTGAAGTGGTAGCACGTCAGCCATACTTCATACAATAAAGGATTCCCTCCTCTCTCCATCCACCATCTTATTTTCATCAAATTATTGCCTACAGAAGTGATACTTACGAGGAACAGAACTTTTTGCTTGAAGAACTGAAAGCAAAGCTTTGATTACTTGTCACTTGTGAATTAAGGAGAGTAGATATTTACATATTATAAATATTTAATTATTGTAAAACTGCACAGGGCTATTAATGAGTGCATTATATACAAGAAATTTCACACCCACAGGCTCTCATCCCAATGGAGGATTCCAACCACCCAGATATCCACTGGTAAGTCAACACAGCGAGCTGTAAGCGATCCAGGAGTCTCCTGGAGCCCACTGACAATAACATTGCGGTCCAAGTATTGAATGAACCAACCAGAGGCGAAGCATTGCTGGACCTGGTGCTC